AAAAAAAAAAAGACTGTGGACTGTTTGCTGCTTTCTTTTCTGGAGTTTTTTTTTTTTTTTTGATATTTATTGATTGGTGAGCTGCATTCTTGGCTTAATTGCTATTTTGTAAGAAATGGACTTTTTGTTCTCTTGCTGGACAACTGTTCCAAATGCAAGAGGGAAAAAAAAAATCAATTATCTGGCATATGGAGGTTGGGGGAAGGGAAGGAGAGTTTCATATTTCCCTAGTCCCTTAGGCATCCATAAAGCTTTACCAAATTACCCCAGGCCTTGGGTTCACAGCCACAGAGGGATAGGCTTCAAGGGCTGTGCTAGTGATGGGACAGGATCACTATGATTTTTAAGTACTGAAGTCCACATTAACAGTGACTGCCAAAATCTTCCCCTATCCTTGAATTCCTACTTGCATCTAAAACCACACCTCCTGGGGTGCCTGGGTGGCTCAGATGGTTGGGCGTCTGCCTTCGGCTCAGGTCATGATCCTGGGGTCCTGGGATCGAGCCCCACATCGAGCCCCACATCGAGCCCCACATCGGGCTCCTGGCTCAGCGGGAAGCCTGCTTCTGCCTCTCCCACTGCTCATGCTCTCTGTCTCTCTGTGTCTCAAATGAATAAATAAAATCTTTAAAAAAATAATAAAATAAAATAAAACCACATCTCCCTATGTGTTTCTCAGGAAATCATCCAAGGCTGTGGGCATGTAAAGGTGTCTCATAAGGATAATCTCCATGTAAGAATAGCATATTCATAATATATAAATTATATCTAAAATTTATTAACTTATATTAACATACAAAGAAGTAACTTAGAAAAATTTCATGTGCCCTCAGATTGCAGTTTAATAGAAGTCTGAGGTAGTGAACAATTTTCAGAGTGGCAAATTAATATTCATGAATTATTTTAAGCTAGTTAATATAAGCATAGCATGATTTATTTTTAAGTGAATAACAAATATTACTGTTCCTTAAAATAATCCATATAAAGTAGAAAAGCAAGAACACATCTTTCAAATTTATTAAATGTTTTCTCCAGGAATCTCATGGTGACTTTAAACTATCAAACTATTACTCTAGAAAGCCAGGTGGTATTTTAAATAACTCGACCCTCTTCCCTTTTCCATAATATGAAATGACCATAATTGTGAAGAAAATAAGGTAACCACTAAAAATTGAACACGACGCCCCCAGCATTAGTAAGGTGACATGGTTGTAAATCATACTGTCTAGCTATTTCTAAGAATCTGTTAAATGAGGCATGAAACATTAACCTGCAGTGCAGGACACATTGTTTTTGCCACACACAACATGGAGGACAAGTCAAACCAAGAAGTTGTTCAGGTCCCCAGGGCTGCCTGGCCTGTCCCACCTCTCCTCTTTCTGATTGGAAGAGATAGTCCAGCCCCGAGGATGTCTGGGCAACTATTGGCCTGCTGTCCTATCATTCCTGTGTCATCTCTTTGCTCTTTGGAACAAGTAAACAAACAAGTATTGCTCAAGAGTGGCCGCAGGCACTATTCTCAGAAAGGATTTAGTCAGGAGGATTTTGAAGTTGACCCTCAATAGGTTACAGTGTTTAGGAGTGTCTTCGCTTGCTCCTCGGAGGTACGATCAGCAGCTGGGAGGGGCACCGTTTTTCAGCGCTTCCTCTCGCCATGAAGCTGTGTCTGGTGGACAACTTCAGAAATCTGCAAGCGAGCGCATGCGGGAAAGCCATCACAAATCACTCACATAATCTAACATTATTTCTGAAATGAGCATGAGCAGCTATTTTGGCGTTCCACAGGTTTTTTTGTTTGTTTAATTCTAAGCAAATTCTCAAGGATTGCTTTTTTCCCCTTTTTCTTCCTTTTTTTGCCCATATATGGGACTGTTAAGGGAGGCATCTCTTGGGAGTCTATGGGCCCTCTTGTTTGGCCTTTGAATATTTTTCTTTTTTTCCATTACCTTGGCTGTTTCTTCTGAGCAGTGGGTAAGATGCCACTTTTCACATCTGGACTGTGAGAACTAGAATGGGTAAAGTTAACAGTTTACTCAGGTCCAAGAAATACTAGTTTCTGGGACTTCTAGGGAACCAACAGAAAAATATCCTGCCCTGTAATTTGCTTATCTCCTTAGATGTTATCGGTTCTCCATAACAAAGAGTTAATTATTATAGTCTCATCTAGCGTTAAAACAAATGATCTCTTTTATCAACCATATCCTCCTTAGTGTACTTTGTATGGGATACGTTATATATAAGGGACTATAAAAGCATTCAGGACACACAAAGCTTTCAGGATTCAGTGTGTAATAATTATCTGCTACCCGAGACCTTTCCCCTTGGGTTCCTTCCTGACAACAGGGGTTACCCATGCTCCCACAGCTATGTTTCTTTCTATTCTGGTTAGCACTAATTCAATCCTTCCATATCCTGGGGTGGGTTATTGTACACAGCCTTCTGTTATTCCTGCCCTCAAGGATATACGGATATAGATAGGTCTTCCTAACTGTTGGATAGTTGCATAATCCAAACTATAAACAGAATAGTTTAACCATTTGGGGAAGTCTGGGTGGCGATTAAGCATCTGCCTTCAACTCAGGTTGTGATCCAGATCCCAGGGTCCTGGGGTCAAGCCCTGAGTCCAGCTCCCTGCTTGCCTGGGGAGCCTGTTTCTCCCTCTCCCTCTGCCTCTCCCCTTGCTTGTGCTCTCTCTCTCTCTCTCTCTCTCTCTCTCCCCCTCCCTCTCATGAATAAATAGGATCTTAAAAAAAAAATAGTTTAACCATTCTTCTGACAAAAATTTAACCAAATTATTTTGTACATGAATACAAGTCTAAGCTCCTCTGGGAGAAAATTGCCTACTGGGGGGTAGACAGATTTAGAAACAAAACAAAACAAAAATGTAACAGGGGCAAGGATTATATTTTAGAACCTATGGATCCATGCAGAACATAGCACATAGGCTAGTTGGGCATTCTGCAAAAATTTATCACATTAGTTCAGGCATTTTTGCTTGCTGAAATACTTCCCAGCTTGGATTATAATGCTGATCCACCAGGCTTCTCTAAATCTGTTTGGTTCATATTTCTCACTTTTTAGTCTTTTAGCCAGTTTTTTTTTTTCATTCAGCATTGAGTCAGTAAACACTCATTGACTGCATGATGTGTGTTAGCATATTTACCACCTGACAAGAGATACATCTAGGGAGATTGGTACAAAGGCAGCAAGTGTTTATAATAAATGTGATGGTGCTGTGAAAAGGGGAACATCCTTCCTTGGAGATGCTATTTGGGGACAAGCAGGAAGGGGGTTGGCTCTTTAATGGCACGGAGTGAGGAGGTGGGTCTTCCTGGCAGAGGAGACCACTTGAGCAAAGTCAAGAGATGTGACTAGGCTGATGGATGACCTTTGGATTATCAGGTGGCTCCTCTGGAGAGATGGCCAGGAGGCTAGACTGGGCAATTATGTGTGATGTGATAAGGAGTCAGTGGGGCCATTAAATACCTTTAAATAGGTGAGTGCCACAGTGAGTCTGATTTTGCTCATGTGTTACTATCTGCAGGAGAGTTGTGAAACCAGCATGGAGGCTGGACTGAAAAGCCGGCTGGGGCAGCGAGGTCAGTTAGCTGTTGTTTTTCAATTGTGTGGACCTAAGTGGGTCAAGATTTAATTTAGGACATACCGTTTTGTTATTTTTGTTAGAGATTCGCTTCCCCGATTACCGGATTCCCTCTCTCCCACCTTGAGACCTCCCTACAGAGGCGGTAGTGAATAGTGAGGAATTTGTGGGAACTGGCAGGGTCATTAATTTTCTATCTGATTAGCAAGATCACCCTTGCCCAGAAACACTGAGCCGGCCAGGGCATTCTAGGCTTCCCTTTAGACTGGGCAATTCCTCCAGCGCTTCAGGGCTGTGTTGTAGAGAGGTTCCTGTAACCACACCCACAGTCAGGGGCCTGACTCTCTGGAAACAGCTAATTAACTACAGTTTCTTGTTGTTGTGAGCTATTTAAGGTAAGCCACAGTCACGAGATGGCTTTACACATTTCTCCAGTTGGGCCCCACCTTCTAGAACACATGTGCCCCGGGGCACAGTAAACAAGGTAACTAGGGCAGAACCACAACATTAGTATGGACAACGCGGGAGCTGGTGTTTTGATCCGTCAGCTAGCATGATTTTTCTTTTCATTGCAGTAAGGGTGGAACTGAGTGAATGTCAGGTTTTAGATAAAAGAAAGGGGTCTGATAGGCATATGTCAGGGTTCTATTTGGCTTCCGTGGTTCGGAATGCTAGAGAAGTTTGCATCGCTCCAGTGGCCACCTAATCACGCCTTACGCGGTCCTGGACGCCATCCTGGGGCAGTCCTTGGAGCCGTGGTGGTAGTCTTGGGACCTTCTCCGGAGGGGTGCTGGGGATTCGGGGGAGGGACTTTGGGGAGGCGGCTCCTTGGGACTGTTCTGGGAGGGAACCTCCAGGGGGCCCTCTGGGGCATTCTGGGGGGATCCTCGGGGATGGTCCTCGGGGCGTCTTGGGGGTGTGAAGGAGGGGAGAACTTCCGGTGGGATCCTCAGGCCGTCCCAGGGGGGCTCTCGGGGGACAACCTCCGGGGCTCCTCGGGCCGTCCTGGCAGCGGGGTCACGCCGGCCTGCGTCCCACGGCGCGGCGACCTCGGTTAGCGCAGTGGGGAGGGCGTCAGTTCATACTCTGGAGGTGGAGAGCTGGGCCCTCGCGCGCGTCCACGGTCAGGAAGGGGCGCCATCGTGCCATTTTAAGCAGCATTCTTTTCCCGTGCTCCGTCCAGGCGCGGGATCCCGGGCCCGAGGCCCGAAGGCGTCAGGTGGTGGCTGGGCCGCGGGAAGCCCATAGGCCCACCCCGCCGCGGGCCGGTCCTGGTCCCTCGTGGTGGGCGGGGCCGAGAGGCGCGGGGGCGTGGCCGGAGGCTCCTGGGCGGGCCCGGCGCTCCCCGCCCGGCCCCCAGGGGCGGGGCTCGGCTCTCGGGCGGCGCGTGCGCATGGGCGGCGGCGGCGCGACGGCCGTCCCTCGCGCCGGCATGGCGGTGTGCGCTCGCCTCTGCGGCGTGGGCCCGTCGCGGGGCTGCCGGCGCCGCCAGCAGCGCCGGGGCCCGGCCGAGACTGCGGCGGCCGACAGCGAGCCGGACACGGACCCGGAGGAGGAGCGCATCGAGGCGGGCGCGGCGGCTCTGTCCGGGGCGCTGGGCGGCCGGGGCGCGGGCCCCCAGTCGCCCCCGCGCTGCTCGCTGCTGGAGCTGCCGCCGGAGCTCCTGGTGGAGATCTTCGCCTCGCTACCCGGCACCGACCTGCCCAGCCTGGCCCAGGTCTGCACCAAGTTCCGGCGCATCCTGCACACCGACACCATCTGGAGGCGGCGCTGCCGGGAGGGTGAGCGCGCAGGGGCGGGGGTCCGGGCGGGCGGGGGCGCCCCGGGGCTCCGGAAGGGGCCCGGCCTCGGGTCGGGGCCTCCGGGGGACGGTCCCGGCCGGGCGGGGGCGGTGATTCCGGGGGCCTCTCCCACAAGTCCGGGGCGCGGGGTCGGGAGACGTGGAGTCCCGGCTGCGCCGCGGGGCCGCGCGCTCTACCCGCTCTGGGGGAGCTCTGCGAGGGGAGGGGGTCCCCAGCCGCGGAGACTGGGCTGTGGCTGCCCTGGGGCTGGGTTGAGGCCGCGGAGTGAGCTGACGCGAGTGGGCATCCTCCTCTGTCCTCAGGCCTCGGGGGGCGGAGCTGAGGGGAGCGGAATGGTTAGGGAGGCGGAATGGTTAGGGAGCCCAGGATTGTGGAGGGTCTCCTGAGGGGCGGGGGGAGCCGGGCACTGCCCGAGGGGGTTGAGTTCCCTGTCAGGGATGCTGGTGGCAGGAGTGAGGGTGGTGGACAGTTTTGTAACAAATCCCAGGAGGAAAGGTTTATACTTAGTCCGGCGTTCAAGGCTCTCTACGTTTAAACGTTGATAGATCCCAGGTGTTCCATGAGGCCTCCTATTTTGGTAAAAAGAATAGCTGGGAAACAAACCCAAACAATGCAGAACAGCAGCAAGAGGAAAGTAAAAATCGTCAGAGACCCCTGCAGTCAAAGATAACCCACTCTTAAAATTTTGGAACACGTCTCCATATGCACATGTAGAGTCCTGTACACATTTTTACTTAAAACGGGATCATACCATATATATTCTTCCCCAGACAGTTTAGCATGAAAAAGCTTTGTGGGATTCCACTGCATACATCTGCCACCAGACCAGTTAGGCCCTTACCAACTGACTTTTGGGTTTGCAGTTTTTTCTTGTCATCAACAATGCTGTCAAGGCTGCCTTTGTGCGGTTTTGTACAAATTTGTGCTGTTTACTTCTGCCTTCTAGGACTTCTGAGATTATTTTCTTAGGGTGCACTTCCTCTGAGAGCAGGGTTGTGGGTAATAGGGTATGCGCATTGATGGTGTAGATGCCCATTGCCCAGCTGTTGGAAATTGCATCCCCAGAGAGGGTGCGTGAGAAGGCCTCTTTCCTCAGATGCTCCCCAACAAGGGCATCAGTCATCTTATCTCTGCAGTGAAGCTCAATGGTCAAGAGTCCGGAGTTTTAGTCAGCAGGCCAGGCTCAGTTTATGTGCTTTGAGATCTTGGACATGCTTCACCTTCCCAAGTATTTTTGGGAAGTGCTGCTTCTGTAGGGTCACTTGGGGATTAAATAAGATCATGCACATGAAGCTCTCACCCCCTAAATGGTATTGTTCTACTGTGAGCCATTTTGGCCATTTTATTTCATCTCTTGTGATTCCTTATTTGTGCGTTTTTGTTTATGTCTCTTAAAGCATCTGTTTTTGTCTTAAGACCTCTTTGAATATTAGCAGTATTAACCTTTTGTCATATATGTGGCAAGTGCATATCTTTTGACGTTTTAAAATAGAGGTAAAGAAAGTTCCACATTCTTTGTGAACTCTACCTTTTCATTTGCTTTGTTTTGCTTTTTGTACACCTGTAAGACCCAGATTCTTCACAGGTGTTCCATTGTGCTTTGAGAAGTTTCTCCATCAGTCAGCCAGAGGTCAGCCAGACCTGTGTGGTGGTTTCTGGTGGGTTTGTCTCTGGGGAACTGGAACTCATCTAGTTCAACTGTAGAAACAGAGTAACGACATTTATGTAATCAAAAAAACTTGAAGGTATGGTATGGATTAAAACTCACTGGGGTTAGAGTTCAGGGTGAATTCTTTAGAGTTGCTGATGGAAGTGCAGGAAGCCCTGATGAAGATGTAGAAGGAAGTTGGGGACAGACGCAGGACTGCAGTCCTTGCCTGCTGGGGCACTTCTCAGTTCCGCTTTCCTGGGGCAAGAGTCATTGTGACATTAGAAGAAGGCATCTTCTCCACCAAGGCAGGCAGACATGCTAGGAAAGAAATTTAAAAAAAGAAAGAAAAGAAAGAAAGACAAAAATGGTAAAAGAGGCATTTTCCTAGTCACCCCCAGTAAATAACTGTTAATTCTTTTGTTATGTTTGCTTTTGATTCCTTTACCTTTTTAAATTTTTAACATTTTTAGGTTTTTTATGTTTTTAAAGATTTTATTTATATGAGAGAGAGAGAGCACGAGCAGGGGTAGAGGCAGAGGGAGAAGCAGACTGCCACTGAGCGAGGAGCCCCATGTGGGACTCCATCCTAGGACCCCAAGATCATGACCTGAGCCAAAGTCAGACGCTTAACTGACTGAGCCACCCAGGCGCCCCTTCTCTACCTTTTTTTTAAGGAAAACGTCTCAGCTGATACTTCTGACCAGCACTGCCCTTCTGATTCTAAGAACCAGCCTCTGTCGTGGGTTTAATTTACTTGTGTATACATATGCTTTTGTGTGTCCCCAAATAAAACATTTTGTGATGGTTTAATTTTTAGAAATATATCATACTGTAAGTCCTGTGCATCTGCTTTTTCCCCTTTTGAATTTGTGTTTTTAAGTTCTGTGTGAATACATTTAAGTCTGGTTCAGTCTTTTTAAATGCTGTGTGGTGGTTCATAATTTGAAGAGACCATGCTTTGTTCCTTCTCTTATTTTTATTTATGTATTTATTTAGTTATATACAGTGTACAGTGAACAATCTCCATGTCTGTTGAATGCAGATGGAATACATGCAGAAGTAGTGCTGCTGGGGTGGGGGGCGGTGGGCCGTGAGCCCTGCAGTTTCACTCGGTACTGCCCAGTTACTACGGCTGTGAATTTTAGCTGCTTACCCTCCTGACACTAAAGCATGAGCAGGTGAGTCACAAAAGGTGACATGCAGGTGTTCAGTACGCACCGTCTCACCACAAGGCAGTTGTCATTTCTGGTCCGGCTGCTCCGAATTATCCCATTTAATCCAGTATGTGCCAAATTCTCTCTACTCTGAATGATTCACCTTTAATTATTTTAATTTGCATGTGTTCGCTAACTGATGAGGATGCACACTTGGAAAATAACATTATTGGCGGTTTGGATTTTTCTTATTTGCTTATCCCTACTCCTTGCCCACTTTCTACCCTATTTTTTTTTTTTTCTTACTGATTTGTGGGTTTTATTTATTTATTCTGGATAGATTTCTGTTTAATACATTTCAAGACATTTCTTTAATAGTCTATAGTGATAATGCTATTTAACTTCATTTGTAATGACTTTTGTGAAAGTTACAGTGTTAATCAAACTTACGTATTTTGGGTTTAAGTAATGATTTTCATCTGAAGGTCAGGAAGATGGTCGCTAGGTCTTCAGTTTCACTAGATCGTTCTGGTAGCCTTAATTTCCAGCTTATCTATGTCAAAAATTGGATGGCTGGCAATCCCGTATGGTATTCATAGATGTCTCATAGAGTTGGTCTCATTGTATATATAAGAACAGTCAGGTATGGGATGGGTCTGATCTTAGTTCTCTTAGCTTTCAAAGTTCATCTTTCCTGAACTAGACATTTGGTTAAGGTGAGTGTTGATACTGCCAAAGCCCCGAGTCCATTTAGGTAAAAACCAAAGCCCTCCCAGCCTTGGTGGGCAGGAGGCCGGATCTCAGGCTGGTTGAGGAGGTGAGTTGTCTTAGCCCCTCAGCTGTCCTGGAATGGAACCTCTGGGTCTGGTCCAGCTCTGATGGGTATAACGGTGGCTCCATTTTTTAGTGTCTTGGGAGGATGAGTGAGACTAATAAGTGAATTTGCATGTTTACGTGTTTGCTTTCTGTCTTTTGATGATTGGATTTTCCAGAACAGAAAACAAGCAACAAAAATGGGAGTCAGAAAGAGAATGGCACACACCTGTGTTTTATTGCTTCAAAGAATTTGGGGCCATGACTGACTTTCAGGGGGCAGACAATGCATGTGTGTTTAAGAGCCCTTCCTAAAATGATAGGATGAGTTTGTGGGGGTGGGGGGTAGCGCTAGAAACTTAAAAACGAGGTAGCTATATTTATAATGTTTGGTGAGAAGCTCACAATTTCCAGTGTCCTAACAATAAGTCAGTTATTTTTATAGAACTTTGGTCTTTTGCTGCATACTGGAGCTGTTGGGTTAAATATTTTCTAGTGGTATTTCTCTAGGCAGGTGGAAGAAGGTTGCTAGTGAGAAGCCAAGTCCATGCTCCTGATTTAGGGGCAAGCACAAAACAACTAGGTGATATTTATCCTTTTACAGGAAACAAACCGAACCAAGCCCAGCCCTCCAGGGCAGGCACAGGCCAGGGTGAGGGTAAACACTTTTTTTGATGCATCACTCTTTTGGCTGCCGGCCTCCTGCAGTTACTTGCATGTGGGGCTATAAATAAGTCATCATTTCTCAGACTTCTGAGGGTAGAAGCCAAGTGCGTTATTTTGCCTTTGACCCTGACAAGGCTTTTCTTCGTTAATACTTCACCATTTACTTGGTGAATTTTGAAGTGTACATTCAGACTGTAGTTCTAAATCAAAATATTCAAATAATAGCAAAAGACAAAATTAGAAACAAAGGAAATGCTCATACATGTATTTTCTCTTTCCACACTGAGCTTTAAATACTCAGACACGAGGATTTCATATTATTCAGTTCAGTACCTGTCGGTGTCTGGTTTTGAATTTATAATATATAATTTGCCCATTTCTTCCCTTGATGGTAAATTTTTTTGACACATAGAATGATATTTGTATAATATTTTGATTTGTTTTTTTAAGTCTAAAGTGGGTTTAAATTCCATCATAATTACAGCCCCCTTCCTGTACATGTAGCAGGATCTCAGAACTTGGAGGAAAACCTTCATCTTTTTCTTCTGCTTTGCCACTTGAAGGAACTGCAGTTCTGTTTTTTCAAGTTGAATCTCCTATGCTGCTTTATGGAGAAATCTCTTACTTTTCCTCAGCAAAGCAGGAAAGGGAAAAAGACAGTGGTGCCTCGTAGGGGAGCATTTTTCAGATTTCCT